AACTTCTATAGAATTGCCATGACCGACATGTTTTGAGTGGTGATGCTATTTTAAGCCTGATTTAGTGATATTACATTCCTAAAAAGCATTTGCAATCAAGTTGAACAAAACGGAATGCTATATCTTTTTGAAACTAATTCATTAAAATTATTGAATGACAAAAAGCAACAAACATAACAACACTGCACAAAGCATATCTTGGTGAATGCAATTCTATAAACATTTATAAGTATAAATCAGTATAAGTAAATAAATAAATAAATAAAATAAGTAAATCAGTAAATAAGAATAAGTACAACTTGATAACTGCATCACAGTATGGATTTATAAAACACAAGTCGACTGAATCTGCCTTACTTGTTCTAAAAAAATTTATTTTACAAAGCTTTGAAAACAAAAATATGGTTATTTGAGTCTTTATAGATTTTACCAATGCGTTTGACTGCCCCAATCATAAAATTTTACTATCGAAATTAGATAACTATGAAATTCGAGGGCACGCTTTACTGCTAATAAAATCTTATCTGGAGCATCGAACGCAATATGTTTATATCAATGGGAATTCCTCCTATATAAAACCTATCCTTTCTGGTGTACCCCAGGGTAGTATATTGGGCCCCTTCCTCTTTAAGATATACGTGAATGACATAGTAAATATTAATGTAAGCGCAAAATTTGTAAACTATGCTGATGACATGAGCATACTGTTTTCTGCAGATAATACTGATCTGCTATTCAATATGGCAAATCTGTCACTCTGTAGGTTACAAACGTGGAGTCATAACAACACATGAAAAATAAATGTGAATAAAACCAAAGCCACGCTTTTTCGTCCTAAAAATAAACTCGTTAACATTAATAAGGACTTCGTTTTGAATTCAACCAAAATCGAGATTGTGAATTGTTTTAAACTCTTAGGTGTCACCTTCTCTGAAAATATGGCGTGGGAAAGTCACATAAACTCTTTAATTCTAAAGCTATTCCAAACTGTGGGCATGTTAAATCGTCAACGTTATATTTTACCAACAAGCGTTAAATTATTAATATAAAATTCTCTATTTTATTCTCACTTAAATTATTGCCATTTAGTTTGGGGAACAACAACTTTATCAAATCTAGAAAAGTTACATGTATTGCAGAAAAAACCACTGTGGGCTATAGCTGCCGTCTCGTATGATTTTCACACAGCTGGCTTATTTCAGAAATTTCGCATCATAAACGTGCATACATTATGTGATTATAGGCTTAGCACAAGCCTTAAACTAGAGCAACTTAAAGACACAACAGATCTTGGACACTTATCAAAAAATGTTCATAGTTACCCTACCTGTGGTGCTGAATGTTGGGAGGTGGCTACACCAAGAACAAACTATGGCAAACAAATGCTTAAATACACTATCCCCAATCTGCTCAATTCGTGTATGACTAAAAGTATGGATTGGGATAAGTTATCCCTAAGAGAAGTAAAATCACCCTTTTTCTCCAGCAGCTAGAGGTACTTGCCTTTTTTCGTAATCTTTGTGCTTAGTGTTTGTATAATTTCTTTTCTCTGCTGTCCGTCATGCCTCAACCCAAAAAAAATCTAAAATTTTCGCTAAAATAATGTGATAGTGACAATCTTTGTACATTTTTTTCTCTTTATTACCGTTCTTCCTGGCTCTTTTGCTGCTTTCTGTAGGCGGTCAGGGACCCGTCAAGCTGTACCTGACAGCTTTTTTCCCTGATCGCCATCATCTTATGGTGTAAATAAACATTAATATTATTATGATATATTCTGAACACTTTTACGCTTATGACCCGTAAGGAGGACTAGTAAAATTACAAAGTTATTAATAACTCAGAATGTATTAAACATATCTGAAAACTAATTCCATCTTTCAAATCATCACTGAGAAATACATCGGTATACTAAATTTCAGCCAGCACAATAAATAAAAAAATAAAAAAGTTAAGGACCAGCATTTTCTTTTAAGAGAGGAGAAAGAAATATATCACCGTTCTTATTTGCTTGAAGAGTTTCCAGATTTCTTTAGAGATCATTGTTAATTTTGCATTTAATTCCTTGTAAGATTTTGAGTTGGAATATTTCATTGACGTTTTAAGTAGAGTAGAAACATTTTTCAAGCTCGCTTTGTTAAGTGTTCCCCTTATTTTTAAACCGAAGGTGCGTTCTTCGTTTTCCTTTAGTAATAATACTCAATATATTTGCTACCCAAGGTTTGCTTTCAGTTTTCTAAGAGTGCACTGCGGAGGGAATATATTTCTCAACGAGTCTGTAAAGTTTTCCTCCAAAGTGAACCAATGCAGGTCATATCTGACTGCATTAATAACGAAAAAACTGGATAGTTCTCTTCTTATATCTTCCTGTAACAAAGTAAAACGCTTTCCTTTTCTGACACTTGGTTTCTATATCTTTGGATAGACTAATGTCGCTGTCACACTCGTATGATCAGAAATTTCAGGTAACACACAGACATCGTCCACTGCTACCGGCAAGTAGCCTAACAACAAGCATAATATGTTCATGAACCACGTTCCCTCGGTGACGTACTCTGTTAATTCGAACAGCTCTACGATTGTTTGAAGTTTAGTGTGAAGCGAGCTTCCTGAGGACACCTTTCCAAGTTAAATATGGGAGATTAAAATCATTTCTCAAGACAACACCCTCTAATGGCCGCAAATAGTGAATCCGTTAGTTCTTTCAAACCCTTGCCGCTTTTATTTGGCGGACATTATGAACAACTACCGAAAAAAGGGTTGATAATGCAGCAGTGTGTGCCTTTTTTTCTCCCCTTCTCTGTTTTCCCCCTCTACCTTCAGCTGGAAACCTTCAGAAAAATGTTTTCCATTTAAGCTCATCTGTCACAACACTTCGTCTATGTTGCCTTTTGTGGTGGTCATAGGGCCACTGGGAATAGGCTTTTCAGCTAGAATGAAGACACCTCCGACTTGAAAATTTATATCCTTTCTGTAAACTACATAAGTATTATAAAGGCTTCGCTGGAACATACTGGCATCAAACCGTGACTCCGTACCTAGAACAAATGCAGGTGTAACCGTTTGCCATAAGCCTAAGAATGCGTAAACTTTATTTTTTATACTTCGGCAGTTTACAACCAGGACCACTCCAACGTCCGAGTTTCTCGTGGTCATACCTTGTTTGTGTGCCCTTTGTTTATCACGAGTAATTGTTTTAATAAAGTGCGCAGAGCAACCTGCAGAGTCATTTGCCTTTATATAACTTTATTTGCCAGATGACAATCCTGACGCCAAGACTTTTTCAGTAAGTTCTCTGGATTGTCTTGCGTCGACCTCAAGCACGCTGTCAGTCTCATAATCAAACATAAAGCATTTTTCTTTAAGATCTGCTCGGTCAATTCTTAACCTTAATAGTAAGATTTTTGTTTTCGTTACCTCGACGAGCTTTCTTCTTGCCAAATGAAGTGGCTTAGAAAAGTCCTCGCTAACAGCGAAGCTGCTGTTGTTATGCTTGTAACCGGACTATTTTACCGATCCCCTCTGCTTGAAAGGCAGAACTTCACGGAAATTTATATTTTTATTAGCGTTGCATTGATAGGGCGCACTTCTGAGATGCGCCTTATCAATTGCCTGAAGGTCTAAATTTATTCCCATTTTTTTCATCACAAAGTCTGACGACACGGGATTCTGTCTCTGCCCACGTTCCCTAATCTTTATCCCCTAACCCAAAGCACAACATGTTCGATCTCCGTGAACGGTTTTCTGCATCATTTCTTGCGAGATTTCGGAACTGCAAGTTCAGCATGCGCCGTTTCTTATCTGGCATGGTTTGTTTGTTTGTATGTTGTTTTTTTTGCGCTATTCGTGAGCCCGACTTTGAAGCTAGAAGTTCCTTTTCAAGCGTGCACACTCCTTCTGTCGATTCAGATACTGTTCTGTCTTTAATAGTACGCTCCTCAGAAAGTGTCTTCATTTTCTGGGACAGTTCGAGACTTCAGATGTGTAACAGTTGCCCGAAGCAGTTTACAAATGCATTTTAATCTATAATAGTTGTACCTGGAGTTTTATTGACATCCCCACAAAGCATTTAAAAAACCTATCAAACGCTTCAAAACTGCTTTTTGGGCAAGGCAGCACTACCAGAAATAAGTTAGTGCTCTTTACAGAGAAGTACTGCTTTGCACCAACCTGAATAGCAAAGAGGAACGGCGTGTTGGGCGACTTAGGGGGGGCAGCGCAGCCGTGCCCATGCAAAGCACTCAGAGGTGATATAGCCAACTACACTTCGTTTCACCTTAAGTTCAGACGGGGCCGACACTACGAGCGGACGGTGCAAATCAGACAGCGTCAAAAGTATACAATCATAGTATTCGTCATGCTTGTTAACGTGCTTTATCATCGATGATCCCAGAAAGCAAAAAAATACTTAGTGACTTGCGATTTCGACGCTACTTGATTGGTATGATACCTTGTAGCATCCGGTGCGTCTGGACTTAAGCCGAATCAATGTATGACTGCAAATTGCTAAAATTTCTCCGTCTTACTAAAATTGCGTATTTATTCGCTAATAGTTCCTTCCACATAAACAGAATATGAGAAATGCGCATTTTGTTTTTGATTTCCCGAAAATTTATATTTATTCATGCGTGTACACGGATATATGATCTGCGTCTATATCAACAAAATTTCTAGACTGGTTGCATAAATAATGACAAGAATAATGCAATATTAAACCGCTGAAAATTTACATAGACGTTTATTCTACTTTTGGCAAACATTTAAATAGCCTTAAGCGTCGATTTTTGACTTTTTGAATAGCAAGAATCAGGAACTTTATATGTGAAACTCGCGTGAGATCACAATATTTACTCACATACAGGACATAAACGAAGACATAAAATGAATTGTATGTCTTTAAAAAAAAGACGTTTTGCTGTAAACATATCTATTGTAGCAGCTAAACGTTCCAATAAAACTGTATTCGGTATCACAACATGAATGAATACTCAATGTGTTTTCAGATCTATGCCACATGCCCAAGGATCCAGGAGCCTGCACAACTGACAAAGCTCTCGAAAGCTTCTACTACAACTCCCAAACGGGTCGCTGTGAGGACTTTGAGTATAGTGGATGTGGAGGGAATGACAACAGGTTCGAAGACATCGACTCATGTAGAACACGATGTGAAGGCATGTATTGTATTTACTCGGATGTAAAACTAGTTCTTTTCCCAAAAAATTTGCGCTATAAAGCCACCCTCACATTATAATTGGATGGCCCCCAAATTAACCTCATATGTCTAATGAAGTGTTCAGCCTCATGCTGGCAGAATAAACCTAATAATTCTTGAAATTAGATCCATAGAAGCTATTTACTTTTTTATACAAAATCTATTAACGAGTTGTGTAGTATACAAATACCTATATCAAAATAGGCACAGTATAGTTAATAAAATAGCTATGTAACATAAATTTTGAAACATACTTTAGGTCTAGAACCAAACACATCAAAACCAGTTCTTTGCGCAAGTCTCGTGCGCTCTAAAAAATGGGTGTCGTCGTACACCCTTTTGTTCCATATAAGGCACCTTTAAACTCAGTTCGAAGTACAGGGCACTATAGCGAACAAACGGTCCCAAATTTTACGAGGTGCTTGATAACGGTGAGCTATAACTTCTTAAAAAGCTAAAGTAGGTGTATCAAAGACCACACAAAGAAAACACTGAAAGTTTGCTATCAGACCGAAAAAACAAACTTTTTTTGTAGTTAGTAAGACGTACATTAGCTATTTTAATAAGTTGTACCAAACGACTGTCAAGCCTTTTGTAAAAGTTGGAATGGTCAGTTTGATATCAGTGCACTGTACGTCAAACTAAAGTTTTGGGATGTCTTACGGGTCAAAGGGTGTAAAAATACACCCTTTTTCCGAGAGCTTGTAGTTAGCCTCCTTAGGGTAACTCGACCAGCTCAACGGTTTCTATATTTTACCGCAATAACTTCTAGCTTTCTTTATTTTATTTTTTTTTGTCTCCTTGATTTTACGATGTTCGTTTTTGTTAAGAGTTCTAATCGAACGAAAAATTACCCTAATAGTACTTTATTATATATTGATTTGCATCGCGTTACTTTTGTGGCTTTAAATGGATGCTGAACCGAAATCTGGATTCCACAAAGCACGCGGCAAAAGCGTGCAACAGGATGCTACAAACACAAAAACATCTCTCATCCATCGATATCTCGAACGGATGACTGTATTTTTTTAAAAAAAAAAAAGGGAGGCGCATTTGACAGAAATGTTCACGTCATGTTTTTCCGAGAAGGAGAGGGAACAGCCTCGCGTCTTCTCCGCCTCGCCGCCTTGAGGGGGCGAAGCGAAGAGAGGAGTAAACGAGATATCTTCACGTAACGCGCACCGCCGGCCTCGTTCAATCTCGACCTCTTTTTCAAATAATACGGCCGCCCATTCGGAGATATCGCCTTACGAGTAGTGTTGTAGGGATTGTAGCGTCCCACCTATAGCTCCTACATTATTTTCTGAAATCCAAATTTCGATTCACCATCCCTTTAATGTTTTTCCCAGCAGGGCAATATGATAAGTTGCAGATTTGCACCTCGCGTTACAGACGTGGTTGTGCTGGAATCGAATAAGCACGGAAACTATATTATTAATACCCTTTAGAGTTAAATATGCATAGGGTACGCTTCGAAATAATTCGTTTTATTTGTAATTAAAACTTGCTAGGTACAAAGATGCAGAAACATTAGTAGAGTCAATAGAAAAATAGCTAAGACTAAGAGTTTTCATTAATTAAATTCAGTCCATTTATCTTACACTCCTTTTTTACAAATATCTAATAGCTTAATAACCTAGGCTTATACTATTTATAAGTGTCATTGACCATTTCCCTATATGCAAAGTGTGCCAAGAAACGCGGGCGAAATCGCTCCTGCCAAAAAGTACACATCGCACAGAAAAAAACGTTGGTGTCTTCACATAAGGGTTACTGCCCAAGCGAGCTGCTGAACGATCCTAGTAAAAAAAAAAAACTTGAGATCAGGAACAAAAAAAAAAAGAGAACAAACATAACACCGTCTCAAAACTCAGCTGAGTTTTGAGACGGTGTTGTGTAAGTCCCCTTTATTTGGTTCCTTGTCTCAAGGGTTTTTTTTTTTCACTCGATTTCATACTGGCCTCTGCCAAAGTGCCGATCTACGAAAATTAACAACATTATATGTGGTTTTAATTCGCTAAATTTTAATTTGTAGACTTATATGTATGGTTTCAATTAGAAACTTTCTGGTAATCGTCAAAAACCAATAAATCAGCGCACCCTACAAATGGGCAGCATTTCACAGGCACTTTTTTTAATCTTAGGAAAAAGAAATAATTATACACAATATTACATGGTTTACGTTTCGAGAAGGCTTGTTAATTTAGCAGATCCGCGCTTACAACCAAAACCCCAATTCTGTCTAAGAAGGACGTCCTCAATATTAGTGTACAATTAAGAATCAAAAGCATTGGTTACGCAAATATTAGTTCAAATTGCTACGACAACAGAAGCATGGAAGTGCGCTCATAGCCTAGAAGAACTTGTGCTTGCGGCTTGATGCCCTTACGTTTTGTAAATCTGCCCGTTTCAGCACGGGCTTGAATTATTTTAAAGAATGTTATGAGTGCATGAGCACTCGTCCAACCAATATTATTAGGTTACAGAAATATCTTAACTTGAGTTACTAAGGTTCCTTAACTGCGCTGTGCGCAGTAAACTGTTCCAAAAGTTGTGTCTACCACACCATACTCCCTGAATTCGGTTTAGTGTCAATCAGACAATGTGTATTCTACTAGAATTTAGAGATGCCGAAACTTGTTTGTATTAGTACCAACGTTAGGAATAGTAACAAAATGACAGTGAAAAATAATTACGCTGAGAGGGCGCTCAAGCTGCCAGCCGTGTTCGTTTCTTCTTTTTTATATATCAGGTGATGTTAGCACAGTCGGAAAAACATATATTCTATTATTTGTGTCGCCGACTTCATTACTGCTAGCTTTATTTTCGCCTGGCATGAAAATTCGTCAGTCGTCAGTTTTTAAATTTACTAGAAAAAAATTTACTCCAGCTGCTGGGGGTTTTAACGTTTAAGGAGAGTTTGTTTTTAACTGATAATTTGTATGCCTTCAGTAGAAAACAATACTTCTGTTAACATTGGGCAATAGAGCAAAATTGTTCCACATAATGCTACATCGAGTCTCGGTTAGTCCACGAATATTTCTTCTTAATGATAAGGAAAGCGTTCAAACTATGATAGTTTGCTTTGGAACCAGATGTCTGTCATCAACCAAAGTATTCTGGACCATGCTACGCCTACCTGAGGCGGTTTTACTACAACAGCGAGACAGAGCGCTGCGAGCCCTTCATCTACGGAGGATGTATGGCCAACGGAAACAATTTCTACACCATGGACCAGTGCAACAGGCACTGTCGCGGTAAGCTCTCACTTCGTCTAGACAATTTAGCCTACTTTTTTCGTAATATTCGGGCACTCTGTTTATGCTCGTTTGATGCGCTCACGGCTGATATTGCAAAAGGATATACCTATACATAGCCTGACTATAACCATAGTATAACTACGCTGCAGGTATAACTGGTGTGTGTTAAAATGAGTGTAATTCTCGTAACCTTATAATGAAAAGTGCTATTAATTGGATTTATTTTGAAGTTCACAAATGTGTAGCTTGTCAAACGCCATAACGTGTTTTGGCATGATATACAGTACGTACAGCTGTAATACGGCCATCGGGATCAAAGACGGCACTGCATCCCATCCTGGGTATCCAGTATACAGTGTGGGGTATTATTTAAGTCGGATACTAAACAAAAATAAACAATGGAACTGAAGCATTCCTCCAATAACATTAGGGACTGCGGCGAACACAAGGGCGCGCGAGTTCAAAGAAACCATTGGTGGCCTGATTGACTAAAATTCGCTAATCATAACTGTTATATTTGGTTGACATACCTAAATTTATGATTTCCGGCCAGTCAGTAATATTGCCACATGCGTCGGCGAGCGAGTACGGGCGTGGCCGAATGGTTACCGCGCTAGGCTTTCGCGCGGAGGCCCAGGGTTCGATTCCGGGGAATTACGAGTCTTATTTATTCTTTCAGTTTAATGTTTGTTCTAGTGAATTCGAATACCCTGTCTCTTGTTCGAGGTCCGAATGTTCTTGCAGCCGAACGTTCTACGCCGGTTGGTCCAGAAGCCAACGCGTGTATACTGTCACGAATGTCAAATAATGAGGCGAAGAATAACTGAAAAAAACTAAACGTTTGATGAGGCGAACTTGTTCCCAAAATAAATTTAAAAAAAAAAAAAGTTTTTGTCGCAGGCGTCGATGTTGGCGAAGCAGCAGGATTGCTCGAGCGCTGGAGCGAGACTGACCGTGGCTGGCCACGCGGAGCGTCTTTTGTAGCCGCGTGGGTTTCTGGAACATTCGGCCTTGAACGTTCGGCGCGTTGAATATTCGGAACTCGATCAGACGAGAAGGTCCTCATACTCACGAAAACACCAAGCTGAAGGAATAAATAAAAGAACATTCCGCTCGCTGGAATCGAACCCAGACCCTCCGCGCGAGAGTCAAGCGCGGTAACCACTCGGTCACGCACGCGATTGAGCGGCGACGCACGTGGCAATGTAAGGGGCTCCGTGTGGCGAGCGGCAGTCAGTCTCGGCCCAGCGCTCGATCCTGCTATCTCGCTGACATCAACGATTGCGACGCTAAACTTATATTTTGTTTTGGGCACAAGTTCGCCCCATTAAACATTTAGTTTCTTCAGTTATTCGCCGCGTCCTCACCCAACCAAACCGACGACGAAGTCGTCACGTGCCGACGCGCGTGGCGGAGATGAGGCGGTGAATAACTGAAGAAACTAAACGTTTAATGGGACGTTCTTGTGCAAAACAAAAAAGGTTTAGCGTAGCACGCGTCGATGTTGGCGAAATAGCAGGATCGAGCGCTGGGGCGAGACTGACTGCGGCTCGCCACGCGGAGCCTCTCATGTACATACATCGGCTTCTGGAACAAATTGAACAGAAGGTTCGGCGGCTAGAACATTCGAACCTCGAACAAGACATGGGGTTCTCGAATTTACCAGAAAATTAAACTCAAAGAATAATTAAGAGACGTGTAGCTCCCATGAATCGAACCCTGGACCTCCGCGCGGAAGCCAAGCACGGTAACCATTAGGCCACGCACGCGCTCACTCGCAGACGGGCGTGGCAATATAGGCCAGATGAGTCGCTAGATTTTAGAAAAAAATCCCCTTCGCACTCTAAGAAAAAAAGGAGGAGAAAGGTAGCAACAGCGACTCTTCCTCCTTGTTGCGGACAAGTTGCCCAGAGAAGGGAGGAACGGAAGTTCAAATGAAAGGAGAAGGTCGAATTGCTGCTTGTTCAGTTGGCGCAGGGGTAAAGCATCGCGCTACTGACCAAGTGGTCAACGGTTCGATCCCCAGACCGATGTTTTTTTTTTTCGTAGTTTTTTTTTTTTTATTTACCGAAACACACCTAAACAAACCCAGACCGATGAAAGGAAAATTAAAGTCCTTATTATTCACCGAGACGTTTTCCTCCTTCTCCAGGCAGACCGGAGAAAGCTTTCGCACCCCCGACTCATCTTCTTTCGGTTTCGTTTTTCGAGCACATCGCGCACGTTGTTTAATAAATTAATGTTGAGTTCATTGAGCTTCAGCGGCAGCGAAGGCCGCCTGTAACTCCGTCTTCTAGTCTAAACGTGCAGAGCCTTTCGGTTGCATTGACGTTTTTACCACTAATTTTATCAAGCGAGCTGGCATGTAGCCGCTCAACTAACGTTGAGCGGCTACATGCAACGTTTCATTTATGACGAAACCCCAGCTCTTGAGTTACTACCACATCTCAGAGCCCCCTACTCGTCCCGCAGTCGTGGCCGAATGGTTAAGGCGATGAACTAGAAATTCACTGGGGTCTCCCCGCACAGGTTCAAATCCTGTCGACTGCGCAAACATTTTTTTTTCGTATTATGTGAGGACGGACGCCGTCCAGAGGGACGGACGGACGAACGGACAAGGCTATACCCTAAGGAGCTTCGCCCCTAAAACATCAAGGGCCTACGCTTTGAGTGCATTCTGCATTTGCCATATTAAAACACATGGCACCGAACGAATTTAACTTAAATGTTCGGACCCTCCAGCACAAATCTTGGAGGAATTATTTTGGGCACAAAAGAGCTGAAATCGGTGGTGGATTCCTGGCTTCAGAGTCACTGGAAATGTGTTTTTTTCCGTCGCATCCGGCTTGGTGGTGCATTAACGCGAATATGTAAAGAAGTGACGAATTGGTTGCATCCCTGCCTTTATTACAATCAGATAAAAACAATTATTGTTGCTCTTTACTTTGCTCGTACCCTGGGATCGTCGGAAAAGGCGGCGAACAAAGCAATATTCTTATAACAATGAACCTAGTTAATATTTATGGTGTAAGTGGGGCACACTTTGTAATGCAGCATTCATATTTAATTTGGATAATTTTGCAAACACGTTACTTGATATCATTCATTTTAAATATATTGACAGCGGGATGCCAATAAATCCCACGTCCCCGTGGCAACAATATGTTTCTGTTACACAAAGGTCAGATTTATTAAAGTAATGCGAGGATTTTACATTAGCCTATGCCGCTTGCCTTTCAGGACCTTGGTTGACAGTTTTAATATATAAAAAATAAAGCACGCCTCGCACACGAACTAAAAAAAAACACGCAACTTTCTACATCAGCATGAGCTCGAAATGAGCATCATTGCCATACCTTGAGCATAGGATGCACTATGCGTTGCGACCATGAGTAATTAAACAGCTAATAGAAAATTCAGTATTCTTTTTTTTTAAAGACGAAACTACGCTTTGAAATGTTTGTAAATATACACGACTACTAGAACACAAGCTCAAATAAAATTAGAGTTTTTTTTTTTTGGTGTACCTTTTTCTTTTAATTCTTACTCATTTCACAGCGTCTGGAATGTTTAGCTGTACCTACTGCCCTTAGACTGTGTCACACAAATAGCGCTAAGTTTGGCATTTCCTTAAATAACCCGGAAACTTACTGTTTGTGTTTATGAACACGACTCAGATATTAGAGACAAAGTTACTGTCAAGGATATATCCCATCCATGGACTCAACACTCAGCAAATATGTTAGTGTCTCTGTAGTGCGGCTTTGCGTCCATTAAAGCTAATTACCGAGGTATATTCAGATATAGAGGATTACAAGTTAGTGCTGTAATTACTAAAGGATTGCATCACTGTTGAGAAACAGAACCCGCCTATCTACTTTCTCGCAGAGAAAGATGAGCTTATTTCATTGTCATTTACAAAAGTTATTTAGGAACTGCGAGATCCACGACATGCTTGTTTTTAAAGGGGAACTCCGGGCGTTTTTCGAGCTGCCCAAACATGGCATTTTTTTGACTACTCGAACTTTTGTCTTCACGGTACGCTATTTATTTTCTTGAAATTAAAAATAGCAATTGAGAAAACCGTAACTCAAGCTGATGCCGAGACTAGCATTCAAATTTCCACGCGCTCTTTAGTGGTGTGACGTAACAAATGGTACAGACTTTCAGGTCTTGAAGGTAGTCTTAAACAGAATATATCGAGAGTGTTTTGTGTGCTAGTCAACTTTCCAAGGGGGAGAGGGCAGAGGGGACCGGTCAGGATGGTGACGACCGATGATGGTGTTCGCCCGATGGAAGGCCCCCGGGAAGTCGAATAAGACAAAAAAAAAACTAAAAGTTGTTCGATCCCGCTGGACACATTACGACGTGGTTGGTTTACGATGGCCAGTGTGGCCACGTTTATTTTCAAAACAAAACGACAACAAGTCAACAATAATTTACAGAACTCCCAAAATTAACACCCACACTTTAGTCCCCCAGTCTCAAGAACCGAATCTGCCTGATCTCAAAAGCCGAATCCTCGAGAATCCTCTCGGCAGCCCTTTTCTAGACCCGTAGGGGCCTCGTTTCCGTCCAGAGACGGACCAATCACTTCAAATTCCAATACTCACACGTGGTACACTGTTATCCAATGGTCGGCGAGCTGTCATCCTGGCGCTCCAACCGCCAAACCTAAATTCCTTGTAGAGTTGTTCTCTGCAAATTCCCCAGTCTGACTGGCGCCAACCGCTAAGTTATTGCATCGGACAAAAAGCGACAATTATACACTAAGCGACAAAACCCTCTAAATACAGGCACATTCGGCTAAAAGCCACAACCAGCTGCAAGAAGGGATCTGTCCGAGCAGACTCCCGAAACCCGAGACGTTTCTTAACGACCGTGGGGGAAACGCTCCCACTTCCCGGCCGCTCTGCCCACGCAAATGCTCCCTCCAAAACGCCGACACTCACAAAGAAAGCTAAAAAAAGAAACGATGCCAACGCAACTGTAGAAAG